TATGTTAATTTGACATAGGAAAAGGACCTTCAGTATGGTTCGTCCTGAGCAACAGTACAGTACATACAATGTGCAGTACATACAATATGTGATGCTTCTGATTAAGTAGTCTTTGAGCTTCGTAGGAAATAAGAACCACTGTTTTTGCAAAGTGGTTGTTAGCATGGCAAGTCCAAAGAGTTAGACTGATAGCAGCAATATATCCTCCCTTGAGCATTCCAAACATACTTAATGGAATTCAGGTTCAGGTATTGGACACTGAACATACTCCATATGCTTAATTGTTCACTAATGATCATAATCTGATCCAGTGCCCAATATGGTACTTGAGGAAGCATTCTGCACACAGTAGATGGTATCCTTCTGGTGGTTTCAGTAAGGTTGGTTGCAGTCTTATGCCTTCATGCAAATGACCACAAATATTGATTATTGGTGATCAACATGTTCTTGACCATTTTTGGCTGAACATTCTACATGCCAGATCTGTAGTTTGGAATAGTTGTCAGAGTCTGCGAAAAACATAGGGTGCATTTATTCATCTTGCTAACTCTGTCTGATTTTCTTTTGCTTATAATTTCCCTGTGGCTGGTCATGGTAGTTCTGGCATAAATGATGCCTTGATGTCATTATAATGAATTACTTGTCCAAGTTTCTTATCTCATTGTCATAATAAAGCCTGCAGTGTTAATATGAAATGTGCATTTGTATTCTTCTTGTTAATAACATATTCTAATTTCAATGTTGCTGTTTTGCAAGTTGCTGCTTTCATCAACATTTTTTATTTAACAGCACAGCCACATTTCTTTTCTGCTGGTTTATTTTTGAATGAGTTTATAGTTATTTTTATGATTTTTCCATAATTTTTGGAAATAGATGTATATTGAATCTACTTTTACTATAATGACCACTTGTTATCACTTCTTTTTTCTGTAGGTGCAACAGATTGTTGTAAGAGGCACCACTATATGTGGTTCTAGATTAAGAATTCCCAACCCTTTTCTTGCATCTGCACCTTTAAAAATGATTTTCCTTGACCCCCTTGCATTTTTCACTATAATATAAAGCATACACTATAATCATAATACAAATGATAGCAAATTAATAACTTATAGATAACAATTAGACTGAGAATATGAGAAAAAGTTTCGAAGAAAACAGTTTATTAGATTTGTTTTATTATTTTTGCATTATTATTATTTTAAATTTTACAAATATAAGCAAGTTTTCAGAAACAGGATCACAAAAGTGCAAAGTATCAGGTATTATAAAGTATTAAGTATTCCTATACATTGTGAACTTTCTTATGGTCATTATGTGCATGATCATGATTAAAAAATTAATTTTATACCTTTAAATTTGCTTATAACTAAATTGCAAATTTAAGGCTTTACATAATTAAAATGGTACTTACTTTCAGAGCTTTAAGTAAGCTTGTATCCTCTAAACCTATGTGTATGTCTCTGTGTGTGATGAAGGGAAATCGTAGTACATCACTATGGTGCTTCCCATGATCAAAACAAATACCAATTAAAATTGCAATCATTTGTATGTTTAATTGAATGTTGAAGTTTCATGCCTCTCTTTATACTTTGTGCTTCTGGTACTACCCTTGGGGTTAAACATAAAATTTTGTAAATAGTTGCTCCCTTAGGATTTGATTCTTTTTGAAGTTCTGGTTATCCAGTACAAAGTCCATAAGCCGGACGTCCATTATGATCTATAATCCGGACCTCAAAGCCACAAACGTTTTTTTGTATGCTTTATGCATGCACGTTTAATGTATAACAGACGGTATAAGCTAGGCTAAAATTATCTTTACTGATTATGAGGCATTTCAGTTAATGTTGCAGAGCGCTGTTCCTTAATCTTCTAATTCGATCTGGCTTATTATTTTTTTGCAGACTGTTAGAGCAATTTTATAAAAATTAAGCTTGAACTTTCGATTATTTCAAAAAGAATTTCCAATTCTGGAGCTGCCAAAGGATCTACAAAGCGAAAGCATGTTTCGATGTCCATCAAACAAAAAGTGGAATTGCTGTAAAAAATGGATAACGGCATATCCGTCTGAAAATTGTGCGAGGAGTATGGCATTGGAAAGTCAAATTGTATATGACATGAGCAAAAAGAAAAAGGAACTTTTTGAATTTTTTGTCGATTCCGACACCCCACTTGCAGTGAATAACAGGAAAAAGAGTTCGTTATGCTAAAAGTGATGATCATGACAAAGTGATGATTGAATGGGTCAGACAGCGTCAGAGCGAGTGCATGCCATTGACGGGGTCCAATGGTAACGGCTCAAGCCAAAACATTTCATGAAGAAATGAACTTAAACACTGAGTGCATGTATTCGACAGGTTGGTTAACCAAATTTAAAAATCGCCATGGTATAAGACAATTAAAAATTTCAGGTGGAAAAGCTTCAGCTGATACTGAAGCTGCTGAACAATTTTCAGATGAATTCATTGAACTCATTATAGTGAACAATTATCTCCAGAACAGATTTACAACGCTGATGAAACTGGTCTTTTCTGGCAATATGTACCGCGAAATACCTTGGCAACCTCTACAGAAAAGACTCCAACTGGTGTCAAAAATTGCAAAGCGAGACGAAGAATTTTAGTGTGCGCAAATGCTGCAGGAACGCACAAGTGCAAACTTTTCGTAATCGGGAAACATGCACGACCTCGAGCATTTAAAGGAGTAACGATTTTCACCGTTATGTATCGCGCAAATAAAACAGCATGAATGACACTCGCGTTGATGAATGATTGGTTTGAAAATCATTTTATACCCGAAGCTCGCAACATTTGAATTCGTTTTTTTTTTACCTGATGACTCAAAAATAGAGCTGATTGTTGACAACTGTTCGGCGCATACTTCTCTTAAAGCTTTAGTGAAAGATAACGTATCCGTATTATTCTTCTCTCCAAATTGTACGTCTATCATTTAGCCATGTAGATATGGGAATAGTGCACGCACTGAAGTGCAACTATAAAGTAGCATTTTTAAAATCTATGTTAAATTTCTTGAACAATGGCAAAACTATTCAAGACTTTTTAAAATTTTTTAGCATAAAATCTGCTGTGTGGAGCATCGCAAGATCGTGGGAGGATGTCTCCAGATACGTCAAAATATGCTTGGCATAATTTATGGCCAGCTACCATATTTCATGGTGAGGACGATGAAGATGATAACCTCAAATTTGAAGGATTTCGGACGTCGCAAACTAAAGGCGAAATTTTCCAGTTATTGGATTTTGTAAAGAAACGTGGAGAAACGGTAATAAATGGAGATGATTATAAGAGAAGTTTTTCATTGCGAAGACAATGCCCCAATCATCAATCAATTAACGGACGGTGAAATCCGTAGTATGGTTCTAGATCCAGACAATACCGCTTCCGATAGTGGTAAAAGTGACAGAGAGGTTACTGAAAACGAAAAAATTTTGATTGACAAGTTAGTCGGTATTCTCGACATAGCAATTACAGGACTTGAGCAGTGGAACTTTGTAACTGAACAGGAAATTATGTCTGTTTATAGAATTAAAGAAAAAGTATTAGCACAAAAAACGAAGCAACTTAAACAACTTACATCGAAAGAAATGTGTAGTAAGCAAATAAATATTAAGCTTTTTTTTGTAAATTTTGATACCCTTTAAATCATAATTTCATAAATTACGGTTTCATATTTTTAATTGTATAATTTCTGCATGGCATCTTACCAGATTTAAATTGATGATCTATAATCCGAAAAAAAAAAAACCCTAATCCGGATTCGCCGAAGACCCGACGAGTCCGGATTACGAACTTCGTAGTATATAAGGAGGGTCATCTTCGGAACTTATGATAGTGCTATTAGTATATTAGTAATATTTTTAAGCCACAGTGTGAATGCAGTGAATAGTAACAGGGCATGTATATTTTGATCAGTGATGTATTAAGTAGATTTTTTTTTTTTTTTTTTTTTTTTTTTTTTGAGTGACTGGTAATGGAAACAGATTTTACAATTTGTGTTTCCTCTCTCTCTCTCTTTTTTTACCATTTTTCTTATTTGAAATTACTCTTACTTCTATTTTTACTTAATGACAATTGTAGTCTGTTAAATGTTATTATTATTTTTTTTTCTTGTTGAATTAAATCTTGATTAATTCTTTCTGTTTTTTCATTTCCCCCCCTAAACAACTATCCTGGTCTTTTTTATGTAAAAATTCAGAAATATCTCTGCTTTTTAAGAAAATATTACAATAATCCTATTCTAGATTACTGTATCTCAGAAAAAAGCAGAAGTACATAAATGAAAAAATAGATAAATCTACGAAATTTAAGTATTAGAATAAGAGTTTTTGATAAGTCTTAGTGTATGTGCATATTAAAATTAGTACACCTATCTATGTGTCATTCCAAGCTGCTATATTTTAAGTATTGTATTGCTAAAATCCTTTACAGTATGTACAGATTATTAGTTTTTTTTTGGAAGGCAGGAAACACTAGAAATCAACTTTGCCTGTGCTGGGACCATCCACTTGTTAGCTGGATGCATTAACTACTTATAGCATAAGAGCATACATTAGGGGTGTGATAATTCTTTATAAGTATTTAAAATGTTCTTCTATCACTTGCTGCACTTTTACAAACATGCTGCTGCTATATGCTATTTTTGTTAAAAATTGTTTCTATGTTAACCAAATTAGTTTTTTACTGTTACATTCATGGGCTTGCTATTAAAATCAAGTATATGTTTCAGATTGCTTGTATTTATTTATTTATTTTTGTTATTATAGTTTATGAAATTTCCGTAAATTCTTTTATATGAGAAAAATTAAATTTCTCTCATTTATGCCCATTGATTGGGTAATGTAATTTTAGGAATGCATGCCTATAGATTAACTGATGTGTATTACTGAAACAGTAATATTATTTATTATCTTGAGATTAACTGCATCTCAGACAGTTTTTAAGCATATTTTAATCTTTTTTTTTTTTTTTTTTTTTTTTTTTCAGACTATACAAGTTGGTGCAGACTTTCAGGCTGTGATTCCTGAAGGCCTATCTAAGTATGATGATGCGCCAGGTTTGTATATGCAATATTTTATGAAACATTTAAGGTATAAAGCGTTTGTATAATTCTGTTCCCTTTTTGCATGCATTTTTGCCTGAAAAATAAACTGAGAGCTGGAACTTGCAGTTTCATGTGAAAAGCCTTTTTTTAATGTGTAATTGTGTATTTGTTTTGGGGGGGTGAAAGGTTATATTTGTATAATTTTTTATACTGCTGTATTCCATTATTTTTTACATGGTTGCTTCATATTGAAGAGGATACCTATTTTACATAAATTACATTGTTATTTAAATTAATTTATTATTAATAATCACCTACATTACTGTAAATTTTGATCTAGTGGAAACAGAAGACTAAACAGGAAAAATATTGACAAGTTATCAAATTTATCTGAAATTTGTTAACATGTTATTTGAGTTAACTGGCATAAATTGTGTTCTAATTTCTAATTACGAGGCATATTCAGAAACTAAATACCGTTTTGAAAAAAAAAAAAAAAAAAAAAAAAAAATAGTAAAACAATTTTTTCGAATCCAATTTTATTTTTACATGAAAATACATGTCTTAAACTATTTTTCAACATAGTTTCTGCCAATGATCAAACACTTGTCATAGCGGGTGACCAGTTTTTGTATACCATCGTCAAAGAAACTTCCCGCCAATTTCGATAACCACGACTCCACAGCATTTTTCGTGTCATCGTCAGATCCAAAGCGCTTGTCACCAAGCTTGTGCTTCATGTGCAGGAGGAACAAGTGATAGTCGGACGGTACCAAGTCCGGGCTGTACGGCGGGTGATCGAACTGCTCCCAATGAAACTGTCGAATTAACGATTGAATGACACCAGCAGTATGGGGCCGAGCATTGTCATGGAGCAACACAATTCCTTTACTGAGCATTCCTCTTTGTTTGTTTTGAATGGCACACCTTAGTTTTGTTAAAGTCTCACAATATCATGCCGCATTAATGGTTTCACCTCTGGGAAGAAATTCAGTAAGCAAAATGCCTTTCCTATCCCAGAAGACAGTGCACATGATTTTTTGTGATGACATTGTCACTTTGAACTTTTGTTTTTTCGGAGAATGAGTGTGTCTCTACTCCATCGATTGTTGTTTCGATTCTGGTGTGAAATGACACACCCAAGTTTTATCACCTGTCACAATTTGGTTTAAAATGTTTTCTCCCTCATCACTGTGCCGTGTGAGAAATGTCAGGGCACTACCAAGTCGCTTTGCTTTGTGAACATGAGTGAGCATTTTATGGAAACCATCGGGAACACAGCTTGCGATAATTCAAGCGGTCAGACACAGTTTTGAACAAAACAGTACGTGAAATTTGTGGAAATGCCTCTGAAAGAGTTGTCATTGTGAAGCGTCTGTTCTCATGAATTGCTTCATCAACTTTCCTTACCAAATCATCGGTGACAACAGAAGGCCGACCACTCCGAGCCTCGGCGTGGACATTTGTTCGACCTGCATTAAACATTCTTACCTACTTTCTCACCATTCCATCACTTATCGCGTATTCACCGTAAACTTCTGTCACTTGACGATAAATTTCGGCAGGTATAACATTCCTCGCGTTCAAAAACACAACATAGAGCAACCAAAATGGCGACAATTGAAAGTCAGTGAACAAGAAAGACTAGTGCGCATGCGCGGGACGCCTACCACAGCGCTGCGCCAGCGCTAGAATGAAACGGTACTTAGTTTCCGAATACGTATTTAAACTTAAAATAATAATTATTTTCGGATAAGTTTTGATTTTTACTTTAAATTATTTCTAGCTTATGAAAATGAAGATCGTTTATTGTGGGATCCAACAAAGTTATCAGATTTGGAAGGTTAGTAATGAGTACAGCTTTTATATTTTAATATTTTTTATATTTATAAAGAAAGGCTTTTGTAAAACTACCCTTTTTTGGTACTTTTGAAAGTGTTGAACTGTATCAGAAGTGGTGTCATTTAAAAGTGGTTAATTTGCATGTTGTGTTTTAAAGTTTTGTTTTAATTGTAACACATCCCACTGTATATTGTATAGCTATATTAAATTGTTAACTTCAAAGCTACAGTTTCAGTTTGTGTATTTAAAGTTGAAGAACTGAAAGGCAAACACAGTTAAAAGTCTAGCTTTGCATACTAAAAAGCCGCACTTAAAGTGTACTAACTTCGGAACATTCACAGGCTGCTGATCTGCTTTGTCTCTGGTATCTGAATGAATGGTTGATTAAATTTGCCTCCTTTTATTCTGGTCTCATTCAGGGTTGCTGTAGGTTTTGAGATTTGCTATGCATCTGGATGTCCGTTTTTTAAAATATGGCAACCCTATATGAAGCAACCGCATGAAACAGCTATAAAAGGCAGCAAACTTGACTAGGCCTTCTGTTTGGATTCCAGGTTGGTGGAGCCGATGGAACTGATTGCAGAAGCTCTGGCCTTAGTAATGTTTAAATGTGTTTTTGTTGTATAAAACTGGGCTGTTTTATTTTGTTTTAATGCATAACATTTTCAGTGCTATGCCATTTAATTTATGTGGAGGATATTTTGCAGTTTTGTTTATTAGGTTAAAAATAATATTTTTATGTTATGAAGAAAAAATGAGTACTCCGTTCAAAATTGTTCTGCTGTTCGATAAAAAAAAAAAAAAAAAAAAATGCTTTTTCAATGTGCCATTTTTACGTATGGTGTAGAAGCCACAGTGCTGGGGAAACCATCTCTAATTGATTAGAGAGAAATAAATTACTGAAATTTTAAGAAATTACAGTATTGTGAAAACTTTATGAAGATATTTCCTTTTTGAATGATGTAGAGGACCACAGCTTGCTGTTAAGAATTAACCTGACTGCATTATCTGTGCAGATATTAAATTGAAGAATTAGGGAATCATTAAATGGTGTGTAACTGCATTCTTCAATATTGGGCAAACTGCAGTTATTCAAGAATAAAATAATGTTTATTCAGTTTTAATTGATAATATTTGTGGTTACATTTAATGCTTTTTTCCTTTTCCTGAAGGTTAATATAGTAAAAAAAACTGTTTTGATGTAATGCATGGAAGTATATTTCTGTTAGTAACAAGATATAATATATGCCTAAATTATAAAATGTCATGAACATCCTTTCACTGTCCATCTTAAATCAATCTGTATGAAACAAAACACCGTTGATCTGACTTGAGGCAGAACTATTTTAAATTAGAAATTTTCTGTCAACTCATGATCAACCAGTCTTGTTTCCATAAGATATGTAAATGGCTCATTTTTATACCAAGTTTTCAACACTAAAATAAATTTTGAATATGTTTTGAATTTCAAAATTTCCTACCTTTTAAATCTTTTAAAAGAAATAGCACATGCAGTCTAAAAAAATGCTTTATCACAGTAATTGCAATTAAAACATTTTTTACAAATGTTGTTTGAAAAATGTGGTAAAAATTACTGTAATTTTAAATGTTGGTGAATTAAGAAAATTAAATTTATAAAAGCATGCAATATTTGAAAGTTGTGCCACTAACCATCAGTTTCCAGTTAAGAAAGTACTCATCTTTAATGTTATTAATATCAATAGCAATCCTTCAGCAGATTTTCTCACAGAATGACAAAAATTAATTTGGAATGTATTTGCAAGTGTCTCATTTTCTCACTCAATGTTCATATTATATGTGTGTAATTAATAAAATGATTTAAGCTTTCATATAGCTGCCAACTCTCCCAGTTAATTGCTGAGTTTCTCAATTTTTAATTTTTAGCCTTTACCAAGGAAATCTACCAAAGAAAAATTTTCACAGTAATAAATTTATTGAATTAATGCAATTTGTGAAAATTCCTTTGTTTACACTCTTAGTGATTTTCAGCATAATTTTTCTTAGTAAAATTTTATTTGGTATGAATTATCTCAATATACTAGACATTTATAGAACTTTTTATGTAGATTCAAATTATGTTTAATTTTGTTATACAAGATTTATAGAATACATAACTATACAATGCATTACTAAGTACATTTCCTGAGTTTGTCTTCACAATGGTATGTAACTCTGTACATACAGAAAAAAGAAGAAAAGAAAAGGGGAGGTAGCTGTATATCTCTCGGCTGGCTGATTGGCAAAATATAACTTGCACTTTTCATGTCTCAAAAATGTCACTTAGGATATACATTAGATTTATTTTTGTATAGTATTGTTCTAACATATGTGTTTTTACCAAAATTTTTCTGAAATGATATATTGATTTTTTCCACATTTCAATTCTACAACTTATATGCCAAAAAGCGAATATTTAAAAAATTAGCTCTGGAATGTTAATTGAAGTTTGTATATTATTAATATATATATTTCTTTTAATTAAACTTACTTGATGATTCCTTCTTTCACAGTTTGAAATTTAGTTTTAATCAAAATAAAATTCGCGGTTATCATCTTAAAGCAGATGTATTTCTAGGGATACTTAGAAAAAAATTAGAGTTGTTTTTCAAAATTTCTCAAGATATACATGAATTTATATACTGTCACATTTGTTATAAGTGATAATAATGCCAAATATGGTTTATACAATTTATTGTAATCTTCAATACATTGCAACAGTTATTTTGAACCTGAAATTTCCAAATGCACTTTTATAGAGAATCATTCATGGGGAATTTCTTTATTTTAATTTTTATGTTAATTCCTTATAAATATTTATTAAGAATACATGAAAAAACATTTGTGTTCAATTTACAAAGAATGTTAATCAAAAGTTAGCAGATTTTGTTCCCTTCCAAATCAGAGAAAATTTTTACTTTTGCCATTCTATCACCTGTTATTTCATTTAACTTATATGTAACAGAATTAATTTTGCTGATTTCAAAACTGAGCATCATATACCCATGCAGTACTTCTGGGTACATGAAAAATGTAAATAAAAAATGCTGCCTTCTATAGTGGCAAAATTTACTTTTTTCCCCCTAATAGCAAGTACTGGCCTATGCCGGCATCCGCCAGATCGGTGGGCTCTTTATTATGAAGGCACTTAATAGGTGGGCCACCATTGCCTCCTATGAAGGGATATACAAGACAATGTTTACATCCATGTCTTCTCTGGAATTCGAACCCGTGCCCTTCGGTATCACAGGCAGGCTCCCTGAACCACCATACCACCTGGGCTGGCAAAATCTACTATAATATGAGATTTTTATAATCTTTTCTGTGTGTAACAAAGGCAACAAATAAACATTATTTGGAAGATGTTTTTATGGCCAAAACTATTTCCTGGCCTTTGCTACATTATAAATTTCTTAAACAAGCTATTTATGTTTGAAAGGGCCTTTATGTATTATCAAAGACACCTTTTTTCGAAAGCAAAATGTGTTTTTATAGAAACACAGGATTTAGAATAAAAACATTTTTAAAAGCTTAGATTTTGATTCTAATTATTATACTAGGCTTTGGTGAGTTTCTTGTTTTCTTAATTTAAAAATCTACATTTAGAAATGGAGGAAAAATTAGGTTGGTTCATTATTTAATTATGGCAAAGCACATGGAGACATATGCCTAAACAAAGGAATGGCTTCATGGAAGACTTATCTAAAAGAATGTGGCTTGTAGTCATGTTACACATAAGGAAAATCACAAAAAAACATGCAGCCACCTCATTCGCCTAGGTTAGTTCAGTAGTCTAATCACTCAGCTACTAGTGGGATCGCTTAAATTAAGAGCCCAGGTTATTAGATGTGTAAATCATCCTATGTTGATTAACCGTTATTATGTTTTAAATCTTTATTATAACTTACCCTTTCCATATTCCTCATGAAAATGCAAATTAGTTTTGTGTGTATTTAAATTAAGGGTTTTGAATATTAAGTTGAGAGAGCTTCTGGCAATCATGATTTGCTGTTAGTATATTTAGTCAGCTCTATTTAAAAACTATGTTCTGGCTTTAGCATTCCTGCTGGCTGATTTATGAATGCAGTGATAAAATGCATGAGCTTCTTTTATTTAATGTGTAGTCTTAGACTACATTATGGATATTTTAATTTAATTGTCTGTACTGTTTATGTAGAATACCCACAAGTTGTGGAATTTCATATGTATCGCAAGTGTCGTCTTTATGTTCATACAGAGAGTAAATTAAAGAGGTTATTTACACCTTTTACTGTGTTTTGTGAGTTGTTGAAGATGTAATGTGTGGTATTGTTGGCATGACCGCCTAAAAGTAACGATACTAAGAATACCAAATACAAATTAATTCTGCGCAAATAGTTAAACTAAAATTTAGAGGTTAGTACATTGCATGATCTTTACTAATAAGAATAAAATGACTTACCCAATAAGGCATGCATGAGTCTGTAACTCTCTTTTTCCAATCTCACATTTATTTTATCAAACACACTTTTTCTGGATTAAATAAGGAACATTTATCTCACATATATAAAATATCAAAATATCAGAACTTAGATACACAAAACGTGATAAATTAAAATGGAATGGTCGGTGAATGCCGAAACGTGACTATTCGTAGATAAATTGCAATCCTGTCTCATCGAATATATGTGCAGTCAAAATTTTCTCATATTCATTTTCGTATTGTCGCGCAGTCTTATTACACACGTGCAAGCTCTTCTTTTTTCACACTCACATTTTTTTTAACACACTTATCATCACGTTGTGACCCATCACTGGTCAAGCACATCTTGGAGTCGAACACCTATTGATAATCTGCTTGAGCGTTTTTTTTATGTTATTCACGGCAGCAGGACTTAGTGAGTCTCAAACCAAGATCCTCTACACATTACATCTCTTAATTCTGCTTCTTTCTATGCATAATACGACGACATTCCACGTGAAAATATGCAGGAACGATGGCGACTGCTGAGTGTGTGTGGCCCGAAGGCCCACACACTCTTTAACACGACGTCAGGCCAGAAAGAGAGAGACAAACCAGTCCTTCCAGTTTTTATCACTGCGACGCAGGTGGTAGCACGTGTTAACGATTCAAGAATTGATGATGCCATAGTGTTCACTGTGAGAATTCTGTGTTCTCACATAATGATAACTTGCTATCTGTCAGGATTTTAGCTCTAGTTTTCAGTTGTAATAGCAGTAGTCGATTCTAATTTACTGTTTTGTTTGCATATATTTAAAGTAGTATTATATTCTCACATGTGCTTAGCAGTCCTTATAAGTCCTTATATTTGAAAATAAATTATAAAAGCCTTCACAAGTGCTTACCTTTTTCTCTGAAGTACATACTATATTTTGTTTTCAGCACTTTTTCTTCTTCTTTTTTAATTGAGCGTGCATTTTCCTTGTTATCAAAGCCAAAACTAAATAAACTTTTCTTCCTTATATGGTGTGCAAGGTGGTGAGTCATATTTCAGGAAATAGCTTTTCTTCCCTTTATTTGCATTAATGCAACCTTTGATTTGCTCGAGTACAGACAGGTGCACATCATTCTTTTGGTGAAAGAATTGGGAATGGGGTAGATAATTCCAGCACATTCTTTTTCCTTCCAGTACCTGTACCCACAGACTGTAGACATGCCTTTGTATGCTGTTGAACTATCCAAGATTTTAGTAATTTGCATTCTGAATACTCATTTTTACAATATTTAATATTCATGCATAATTTAAGTCATAGAATCGAAATATGGGAAAACAGTCGGTGTGTCATTTCAGAAAAAGTTGGATTCCGATTTTGTATCAAAAATGAAACTACGAATGTTGAAAGAATGCTGTATATAAATCTAATATATATTCCAAGTTTTACTTTTGAGACATGAAAAATGCAAGTTAAATTTCATGAATCGGCATGCTAAAACAGGAGATATAGAACTGCCTCATTTATTTTTGTGCAAGGTGTACATTAATTATTAGTTATATTTTTATTGTATTTAAAAGTACTTTGATATATAAAAGCATCCCTTCCCTACTCTGAGTTTTTCTAGTCTAAAGGTGTAAGAAAATTATAAAATAAAATTAGCCAATGAAATTAAAATTTAAAATAGCTAATTAAATATTGATATATTTTACATTAGAGTTGTATCACACATTATTAAATAACTGAGCCATGCTTATAAAATGTATTTAAGTTAATCTGGAATTCTTTTGAAATGATGCCGCAGCATAATTTCATCCTTAATATGTGTCTAATTTTATCTGAACTTCTGCTATTAGAAAGGCTGCACATACATTCCAGTAATGAACAACATTTCATCTCTTAAGGCAATGAAATTATCAGTCTTTTAATTTTGGACATCCTGAAGTTTCTGGAAGTGTCTAGCAAAATGACTGTCTTAATGGGCTTTGTCAGGAATATATGCTGGGTACATCAAACCTCCCAACCAAGGATCAATAATGTTTTCTTGATTTCTTTCATGACATGCAGCTTAGCATTACCTTGCAGCTTTTTCAAAAAATGCAGTCCTTTCCCAGTAAATGAACATTCTTGACCAATTTCCTAATTTACTTACAGCAACTGTTTGCAGCAGTCAGTATTAACTCTTTGACCATGTTTCAGCTGTTTATAATATAGTACACCCTCCTTATCCTGCCAGATGTGTAACACAACTGTTATGTTCAATATCAATGTTCCAGTGACATGAAAAATGCAATTTTAAAAGTTTGTTAATCAGCTAACTAGATATACAAGTATATCCCTTTTTTGACTTGCTGTACATTTAGATGATATAGACCAACTTTTAGGTGACCTGTGTTACTCTGGACTGTTGCAATGATGACAAAAAGGCAGAGAAATAATTAATTTTTAAGTCATTAGTATACATAACATACAAGAATGCCTTAAAGCTTATTTGTACATCCAACATATAAGTGCTTTTAAATAATGAAATATGTTTATAAATTATTTGAAGATTAGGGGATTTTTTAGGCTTACTGATTAAGTCTGAATTTTATTAACATTTTTGGTAAGCTAAGCAAAGTGGATTTTAACTTGAGTCATATTTCACATTGCATAATCTATAATGTGAATAACTGATTTATCTATCATTGCTGTTAACTGAAGCATGTAAAAGTTTTTATAATTTTCCAATATTCCTCAAAACACTACCTGAATATGTAATTATTTGTATGCTAGCATATCTTAAAATTAGAAACAGATATCAGTTAACAAATGTTAAAAAAACTAGAGCATTTGTTGCCAAGATTTTGTATTATTTTCAAAATATGAAGTGTGGAAAAAGAAGAGTCTTGAGTCTTAATATTTTCTGACCATTAATAGTTCGAGTCTCCTGCCAAAATATTTGTAGCCATCGTGCAAGGTATGATTGAAGAAATGCTTGAATATGAGGAGAGACCTGTAAATAGAGAATGCACATAAAATTCTACTGAGACCATTTTTGTCTCCTCTATTTGGTTCAGTTCAAAGGCAGCAGTTAGGTGCTGATGGTCATGATTACTGTGGGAACAAAGTAACATTGTCGTGATTTGAAGTGTTATTTTTCAGTATGGTATGGTCATTGTCACTTTGCATGCATTTAGTAACTTAGAACAGTTTTTTTTTTCCTTTCTTTTTTTGTTGATGACTTTTGATAAAGTTTTAGTTACTACTGAGTCTGAGGAAGAGAGACATGACTGTATTGTATTTTTGTTACACTGATTTTGCATAATTTTGACCTGAAATATTTGTTACCTAGCAAATCGTTTAATTTATGTACAGTTCTGTGAGATGCCAAATTTTATTTATTGTTATTATTTTTTTTTTAGTTGAAGATTATCTTAGGCAAGCCCACTTTCCCAAATCAGGAACTCCGAGTGGAGTACCTTCTGGAAGGCATGTTAGGGATGATGAACAAGTTGGTGATTTATTTTAAATTTATTTATGCAAGAAAGTTTATTCTTTTTGTAAATTCAAATTGATGTAAAGTTTTCATAATAATATTTCATATACATGTTATGTGTAGTAAATTGTAATTGGTATTAGTCAAGATAAAAATTCATGTAAATATTTAAATATCTGGAAGCTATGTGAATTAGTTTTGAGTAATAACCACTTTCTTTTCTAAGTTTTACAATTTTAATATCTGTAAGCTTTTAATGCATGAAGTAATATTTGTAAGCTACATGTAAATGCAGGATGTTCATGAAAAGTGGGTTATGTACTTAGAAATATTGATACTGGGGATGCACATATAATTTTATTTGAGATGTACATAATTCTCAAGGAGACATATATAATTGCAACTCTGAAGAATTTTAGAAGTCTTAAGATTTTATATAGTCAGCTCAGATTAAGAAGGATAGTCCAGAGAAGGCTTATTATGCTTTAGTAAATTAAATACAGAAACTACCATAACCTTAAGTTCTAAATCTTTCAAGATATTAGAGAAAAAATTTACTTTTGTGTCTAATACTATTATGTTTTATGTGTTAATACTTTCTGTGCCTATTGGAAACTGATTTAAATTGAGAATTTACAAAGATACTTGAGTTTAAAAATTGTTTTTGATCTTTTTTTACGATGCTTATTACCAAGTGATTTCAAAGATTTTCTCTAGATTTAGGGAAAAACTTTAATTCAGAAGTTGCCTGTTTTTATGCTTAATGATGCTTTATTGGATAAAACAACACTTATTAACATCAGGGTTGCTCCCACAAAAACTGTTAATTACTAATGAATTTTGTCTATAAATGTACAGAACCTTTAATATTTAAAGCACAATTGACATTTTACAACTTGTACTTTTGCATTATGGAGATCTGTAAAAAGCTAGATTTTGTATTTGTAGAACTGTCCAAACTTTCCATCTGGAAACAATGGAACTTCCCATAAATTTTAATTCCTATGTTCTGAAACTTCGTTATTTCAATTACATGTATAAGCTAGAAGTAATGTACTCTGCCTTCTGAGGCACGACCTAAATAGCCTTTTACGCTTACAAGCATGCAGATATTGGAGAAAATTTACAGCAACATTGACAGAAATGTAGTGTTCTACCCAGTATAATAAGCATATGCAAACAAATGTAAAGATTACCCAGCCAGTGATGTGTACAATGGCGGTACAATAATTTTTCTCGATAATAGTATAGTGATATTTATATGCAATGCAATGATTAAAGAAAAAATAACTAGCCGGCAGTATATGTTGTAGGATTCAAAAGTTCCCGAACTGAGTCTATAACTAAAAATGTTTTGCAGTAGTGCGTCTACGAGAGCGTTTTTGTGTAACCATGTTCTCCCCCTTTTCTAAAAGTGGTTTATCTCAAATCACATGGTCAAAAGCTCATGATGACAGCGTTTTTTGTAGGCAGGTGCATTTAGTAAATGGCAATAGAAAGAAATGGCTTCAGTTGAGCAAAGAATCAATAGCAAATTTTGTGCTCGCTTGGGAAAGAGTGCTACGGAGACTTTCAAAATGTTGAAGAATGTGTACGGAAGTGAAATGTTATGAAGAATGCAAGCTTTTGAGTGGCATCATCATTTCAGAGAAGGCTTTGTCATTTTAGGAAAGTGCCGAAGACGATGTGAACACTGTGGCCGTCCCGTAACTTCGTGCACCGATGAAAACATGAAAAAGGTGTCTGAGGCGGTACCTGCGAGCAGGTAGTAAACAATTTCCCAATTAGCAGAATCAGTTGAGATATCAGAGGCCACATGTCGGTAGATACTGACTAAGGATCTTAACATGCATAGGATGTGTCAACGCATCGTTCCCCCGCTTGTTAAACATAGACCAAAAGGGAATTTGTATGGAAATGGCTTACTTAATTTTGGCTGTTGACAAAATAATTCTTCCCTACTTGGCAGAATTATTACTGGAGACGAGAAATGGTGTTTTATGTATGACCTGCAAACCAAGTGAGTATCGGCAACGTGGAAATCACCACAATCTCCAACGGAAGCAGAAATTACACCAAGATCACTCTAAAGGGAAAATTGTGCTAGAGGTATTCTTCAATGTTCAGGGCATTGTGCATCTGGAAATTATCCCTGAAGGACACACTGTGAACAAAGAACTCTACATCAAAATCCTGTATCATTTGCTTAAATCAATCTGGAAGAAGAGACCCAAAATGTGGACTAAGCAGTCATGGGTGCTGTTGCATGACAACGCTCCTGCTCACCGATCGCTTCTCATCAGTGACTTTCATGCAAAAACGAAAAACAACTCTTTTGCCTCATCCTCCTTACTCACCTGATTTCGCACTCTGTGATTTATTCCTATTTCCTGAACTAGCAAGATGCGTGCAGGATTTGTCGATTTCAATCTTCAGATGATGTTAAATGTGCATCGCAGGCTGAATTAAAGGACATGACCAAAAATGGATTCCAGACATGCTTTGATGAACTTTACAGGCATTGGCAAAAGTGTGTTGTTGCACAAGGGTCTTGTTTCGAAGGAGGATGTGTTTCTGCAATTTAATTCATAATATTTTTTATGTTATAGACTCAATCCCTGAACTTTTGACTCCTACCTCATATTAAACATTAGTAAGAATGAAAACAAAAGAGATAGAGAATTACAAATTCTTTAGTATAGATGTGATAGGCTTACAGTAAGCATAATATATGGTATGTAGTTATATAAAGATAACATAATTAAAATGTATGAATATTAATACAGTGTACTAGAATTAGCAAATATGTAATTGAATATCACAAAATGAAGACATTTTGTAAACATTGGCATTGCAGCTGCGATGCAGTAGTAGTATAGAGTAATCCAAGACAATAATCACAGTTAGATCTTAACTAAAGCTGTATGATGAGCAACAAGATTTGCACTGAATCTTGCTGTGTGGCCTGCTTATTATGCAGTTTTTCATTGCTCAGCCATTGAAGCACACGTTAACTGGTTTCCAGAGATTGGCATGGGGAAACCCTCTAATTGTGTTGCCCCTGCACTATTTTATAATTTGAAGTTTAGACATGCTGAAAGTGAGACATACCATGTAAAATATTGACCCAGTAAAGCACTACAGCATACCATATTCTTATTGGATTTTGACACAAATCTTTTTGCTAAGACGTTTCACACTGTCATGTATCTTTGGTAAAAGGCTAATGCAACATAGGAACAAAACTGTTTTGTCACAGAACAGCAAGTGCTAAATTTTGGCTATGGTAGGTGAAAACCAGAGCAGTGCATTCAATATTTCAATGTTCAGTACCATGTGCTTTATGCAGTTTCAATTTAAAAAATTGCATAATTAACATTATTAACAGGTTAGTTGCTGACCAACTCATGTAGAACAGTGGTAGGGGCAGAGTCCCTTTATAATTTTTCAGCAAAATTCATAGCAAATGCACTCATATTAAGTAGTGATTTATAAGAAGCTATGATTTGTATTTATGTTATAGCGTCTCTTGTTCTAATTAGTTTTTTATAGGTTTCGTTTAGGTTTACATGTGCATTGTGTTGTTGCTTATGCTCACTTGTCTGATGCAGTCTGCCCAAGCCCACGAAATTCCTCGTGGCAAAGAGCGCTAGATTACACTGCCGTTGGTAACAGCCTTGAGCACCTTCCAGGTGACAGTGCGATTTCACTTAGTTCCGCCCCCAATTTTGATGGAAAGCACACCGGTGAGATGGGTTCGAGGGTCTCCCACCCCTCTCCCCTTCCACTAATTTACATGAGAGGACTTTTGGCTCGCCGCATATTTAGAGTGCCACCATGTCACACCGACACTATCCATTTGTAAACATCCATGTCTTCTCCGGGATTCGAACAAGGGCCCTTCAGCACGGCAATCAACAACGTTAACCACTGTACTGGTTGGGCGGTACATGTACATTGTTTATGTGACCATAATTGTACATTGTTTATGTTTATCGTTGTACATTGATTAGACCCATGTGTTTCTGTATATTGGAATATTTCTTCATAAGTTTTGCATTATAATTATTAGTAAATTGTTCTTTCAGTTGTCTTTATCCTTGAAATAAGAAAACTTTCTTTTTTCAATTTTTTTTTCCTTGACATATTGAGTTCATTATAATTATTAGTAAATTTTTCTCTCAGTTCATGTTTATCTTTGAAATAAGAAAAAAAATTTTTTTTTCAATTTTTTTCCCTGGACAGACTCAGTTGCAAATTGACACTTACAAGGGACACATGGCATATTTGATAAAAAAAAAATTCTATACAGTACAAAGTCCGTAATCCGGACATCCATTATTCGAAATGATCTATAATGCGGACCTCAAAGCCACAAACTTACGCATGTGCGTTTAATGCACGCTCCCGATAGTGAAGAAAGTGACAGAGAGGTTATTGGAAACAAAAAAAATTTGATCGACAAATTAGTCTGTATTCTCGACTCAGCAATTACAGGACTTGAACAGTGGAACTTTGTAACTGAACAAGAAATTATGCCTGTTTATAGAATTAAAGAGGAAGTATTAGCACTAAAACAACTTACATTGAAAGACATATTTAATAAAGTAAATAAATAAATATTAGGCTTTTTTTGTAAATTTTAATACCCTTTAGATCATAATTGCTCTTTATTTCATAAATTACAGTTTCCTATTTTTAATTGTATAATTTCTGCATGCCATCTTACCAGATTTAAATTGATGATCTATAATCTGGAAAAACCCCTAATCCGAAATCGCCGAAGTCCCGACAAGGCTGGATTATGGACTTTGTAATGTATATTAGAGAGTCGGTCTATTCAGAAAAATGGAACTCTTCGTAGACTAATACTTCAAATATGAGTCAATTTGAGATATTGTTATATTTTGAAAAAACTTTCATTTCTTATAGTGGAATTAGTTTTGGGTATTACTGTACAAAAATATACTATCAGTCTACGGGAGATAGTGCCCTTTTACACGGTGGTAGTGGACACATCAGCCTCTGAGAAATAAGATGCATTTGTCTGCTGATTTCATTAACATATACTGTAAATTAATGGAGATTCAAACTGTTAAAAAATAAGACTGATATTTGACCAACCTGCTTAATAGGTATTTGAAATAAGTGGTTGCAAGCTTTATTTTCTTAAATATTGAGCTTATAGAATTTTTTTTCATAGTTTCTGAAAATGTGGCAGAGAATTTTATGAAAACACTTTTGGCACAAAAGATAAATTTTTAATGGTACCGATTTTTATCTTTCAAGAAGATCAGAAAACACATTTATTAAAATGTTCATTATATGAGGATAAATTAAATAAAAATTTCAGTGAGTAAGGAGCAATTAATAATTTCTCAGGATGCTTCTGGTATTAGTTTAGAATGAGTAATTTGCTGGTGTAAAACAGGAACTCTCAGATGCAAATTTATTAAAAATTTGAAGTCTTTTCAAGAAATATTGATTTTTATTTGAAAATATGTATGGAAAAGGAATGTTATTCAGCAAGTTTGTTTTGCAGTGTCTTCATAAAGGCAAAGCTAAGAAACTTATAGCATTTAAATTATTAAAGCATTATGAGTATTTTGTAAATCAAATGTTTTAATGTACAGATGCAACATAAAACGTTTAATTTAATCTATCTTTAAAACCGTATCAGTAGTATTGAAACTGTTCTCATAAAATTCTCTACCTTATTTTGTGAATATATTATTGGAGGCACATATCAAGGTGCAGTGTTTATAGAAATAAAGTTCGTAACTTCTTTTTTCAAACACACATGTATGTGTATATAAATGCATCCATGCACCTATGTGTGTATGTATATGTATGTACATATATGTGCATGTTTATATTGATTGACATTAGAAGCAACTCTTAACTTTTGGCCCCTGAGTTGTGAAAGTGTGGTGGATTAATAGTTTCCATCTGGTCTAAACAATAAATGAAACCCTCAAAATATATTTGTTTGGATTGGAATATTACTCATGTTGGTTTTCTTTTGATGGTATAAGAGCAGGAAGCAAGAAGGATTCTGGGGAAAAAAAAAAAACGTTTGTTTACTGTAGGAAATTTTGCTTTTCCTAAACTAATCTGATTCTTCAACTTATTTTTGCTGGATATTGTTATTATTGTCTTATCGAAATTCAAGTTTGAATTTTTGATTATGTTGAAGAAACTTTCTGGAGCTTTAGCAGGATCTGCAAGTGAAAGCATATTTGGTACTCAGTAGCTAGTAAAAGCATATTTAGTTCTATAGTGTGCTTGGCACAAGAAAATGCCATTCATACACATTTCTAAATTAGGCAAAACAGCAACCGGATTTTGGCTGAGAGTTTGAACAATATAAAATGGAAAATTTTCCAATTGAATTTGTGAACTAATGTGGAGAAGAGATTAATACAAAGAAGTTTTCCATTGCAATGACAATGCCTTGATCAGGAATCAACTAATGAATAGTGAAATCTGTAGTAGAGTTTTAAATCCAAAAGCTATAAATACCATTAAGGACAAAAGTTGAAAGAAGATTTTCGAGAATAAAATGATTTGAGTTTATAATTTGGTAGGGATTTTGAACACAGCAATTCGGGACATGAACAATGGAACTTTATAACTGAAGAAATTATGTCTGTGTGATTTTGCAGTATATTAATGGGAAATATCAGCTATAAATACCAATGGAAAATATTAGCACAAAAATCAAAACAGCTCAAATGTCTTACATCAAAAGAAATATTTAATAAAACATAAAAATAAATATTTGTCTTTTTTTCTCGTAAAGTTTGTTTCCCTTATGGCCGTAAATTCTTCATTATTTTATAAACTATTTCATGTTTGAATTTTAAAATTTCTGCATGTCATGTTACTAGATTTAAGCTAATAATCTAAAATCTTGAATTGTTGAATTCTTTATGATTCTGGATGTTGGGCTTAGTACTGAAGTAGTACTTAAAATTTTTAGAATCACTTGCTCATCAGCTGCTTAAAACTGACAGGTTGTAGAGTCATTAGGATTTTTGAAGTAGGAAACATGAAAAATGAGCAGTGCCCTTGTAGGGATTTGAACCTGGACCTCTTGTATATGTGCCAAGTCTGCTACTGTTACACCATGCAGGCATGCAGAAAGGAAGGAAAAAATACTGTGTATACTCCCCCTTTGAAAGGACAACTGGGAATTAGGGGATCCAATCGCCAAATTCTGATGATGAAAAATCATGATCTACCACCTTTTAGTTTGGGTGCCACTATAGAGTCATTAGGATTTTTGAAGTAGAAACACAAAAAATCAGCAATTCCCTCACGGGAACTTGAACCTGGATTTCTCGAATATGCGCTGAGTGCGCTACCGCTACACCATGAAGGCATACAGAAAGAAGGGAGAAAATACTTTATAAGGTAATGCCACAAATCTATGCTTCATGATGTTGTGGCTTTTTTATGGACATTGCCACAAATCTATAGTTTGAATTTGTTGTCGTAACATGGATACTAACATTCGAAACACTTGTAATCATCAAGTTGCCTTTGCTTGAGGCCAGCCTGCTTGAAGCTTTCTTCCAGGAGCCCTTAAAGCTTGCTTCTGATAGGCTTTCTTTCTGAGTCCATCATCTATTTTGTGTCGTTTACTTTCTTGTAAATGTTGCTTGCTTTTATTTTTTAGTGATTATTGTCGAAATAGTATGATTTTGAACTATGCATGTAAATTTTGATGTAATTAAAAAAAGAGAAAAGGTTTTTGGCTCTGTTATCCCTGCTATTATTAACATACACACTAATTTCTTTTCAAATATTCTGTTTGTTCTTTTAAGTGAGGATTTATTTTGTTATCATTTTATCCACTTTTTAATGTATGTGTTCAATCCTACAATATGTGCAGATAGTAATCAACTCCCTGAATGGCATGTCTGCTTTTATTTGATTAGGAGATCTTTCATCAGTTTGCATATACTAGGTTATAAATAAAAATATTTTGCTTCCTTACTTTTTTAATGCTGTAAATAATACATGAATGTTTATGAAAACAGAGACAAAAATGAGAAACTATGTAAATTTTAGTAATAAATAATGTTTAAATTCAATTCTAGATTTAAAAAACCAAGATACTCAGACTGGTTAATGAGAAAGTTTTAAGCAACTCAAAGACTCTTAGTTCATTGTTAATTTGAGAGATTTTGGTGTAACTTTGAAGCAAATGTAGATGATGTGAAAATTTTTCCCACTAATAGTTATGATTTGTGTACTTAACAGCATCTATAATTGCATGCAAATCTATCCATTTCATATTAGTCATATGTTGATATTTGTAAAATGTAAGTGAAATGGTAATATGTGATAAGTTTATGTCTGTTATGTTAATAAATACGGTTTAGTATGAAACTCATGTTTTAACAAACTTTAAATTTTTTTTTTTTTTTTTTTTTTTTTTTTTTTTTTTTTTTTTGTTTTTTTTTATTTTTTTTTTTTTTTTTTATTTTTTTTTTTTTTTTTTTTTTTTTTCTTTTTTTTTTTTTTTTTTTTTTTTTTAGGCTTTATTTTTATTATTACAATGTGGTCATAACAAAGAAGAAGCCTTAAGAAGGCGACGCATGCAGCCTCTTCCACCTGCTGGTATAATTTTGTTTCTGAAAGTTAATTTATTAAATTTGTTCGCTTCTTCTTATTTTTTGTTTTTGGGGTCAATTCTTGCTCTTTTAATCATATTGTGTTATACGAGGGCTATCCAGAAAGTAGATTACGTTTTGGAATAAAAAAATAAACAAAGTATAGGAAACAAATTTTATTATATACAGATGAAAGCCACACTCAAATACTACTTTTCTACATAGTCACCATACAAATTAAGGCATTTATCGTAGCGATGTATGAGCTTGGAAATTCCTTCGTCGAAAAATTCGGCCACCTGCGCCTTCAACCACTTCGTTACCTCTTCTTGCCTTCCATCTTGCACAAAACTTGTGGTAACCAAGCTTTTCGCTGATGATTTCGTGCAAAAAACTTCGCGAAATTTGTGGAAAACTCAAAGAAAGTTCCGTTATTGTGAAATTTCGATTTTCACGGACTTTAGCATCGACTTTTTCGAGAAGTTCGGCGGTCACTATGCTGGGTCTTCCACTTCGATCTTCGTCGTGAACATTGGTTCGGCCATTTTGAAATCTGACCACTGACGCACTCCACCTTCAGTGATAATGTTGTCCCATACACTTCACGAAGCTGCCGATGATTCTATCGGTTTACAGTTTTTGCAGTCAGAAACCTTATTACTGAGCGCACCTCGCAGCTCGCGGGATTTTCAATTAACGCAGACATTTCAAACCGTCGCAGTATCTGAACGGAGCACAGCACGAACCTCTCACTAGCACGGCTAGATGCAGACTGAGCTGCGCAACGCTCTGACCCCAAGATGGCCGCGCTAGCCCGGCCCCTAGCGGACACAGACGGAAACGTAATCTACTTCCTGGATGGCCCTCGTATTTGTGCATGCAGATGCATTCTTTAATTGGAATATCATAATAGTGATCTAGTAAACATTTTTAGAACGACATCGACTATTGTGAGGGACTTTATTTTTGAAAATGTTTAATTTAGTTTATTTGTGTGTGATTTGGCACTTTGAAGACATCAATAAAAACATTTTCTTGCATATTGAGTAGAAGAAAACTAGACAATATTTTTTTATTTAATTGTTAAAATACTTCTTAAACACAGTTTAATTAGTATAGTTTTTAAACTACGAATTAGCCCACCGTCGACTGAGTGGTTAAAGTACTAAATATTGGTTTTCAAGGTGCAATTCCTGGCCAAACTAAAATGTTTTCTGGTTATTCCTCATGGGCTCATAAATTTGATATAATTTGTGAATAGCAGTTCTTTATAAAGGGATTCTTTCAAAGCCTTGCTAATTAAACTTTACACCATGAATTAAGGCAGTTGAAATGATTGGGTGTAATTTAGTCAATTTAAGAGGAAAAGTCTCTTCATTTGCCTGCTGATGTTTATTTTTAATGGATGGAAAATAAGATTTACATATTTGCAAATTCATATTTTAAACTGGAAGGTTAGAGAATTAAGTCTTTCAAGGTTGTGCTTTTGAATGTCAGGTGTTACTGGTTTTAGAGGTAGTAAAAATAGTATGCCTGAGTATTAATGATATGTCATCCTATAGAGAGTATGTAAGACTACATTGATGTAAATAGTATATGCCATGAACTTAAAACAATACTATAAGTGTTAAGTAAATGTCTGTCTCTGTTGGCTAATGGAAGTGTAACTGAGCAACACTTTTTGGGAAGATATATTAAATTATTGTTGCATAAATATTGGGTCTAAATACATATATATGCGAGGGCAAAATAGAAACTTATGATTGATTCAAAAAGTGTAGTCTGCATAGAAATGGAAATAATTCTTCGGAAGAAATTTAAAATAATGGTTAAGCGTAAATAGTTAAAATTAACTTTAATTTCATTTTTGTAATATGCCATTTAATCAGACCATTAGCATTAACAATGCCATACATCAGCATGATCTCATGGAAATTCTAGTAGTTCTGTGTATTATAACATAATGACTATTTCTGAAAATTTTATGGAATTAGTTTGAAAAATCAACAAATAATTAAGTGCTGTTCTGAAATTTTTGGAATGAGTGACGTGAGCTTATTTTAGCTTCAGCATTTGCAAAGGTCAGTTATGTTTTATATATATTGTGGATTTAGCAACTGAAAATATGTTTCTTTGTAGAGACATTAGGTATTTTTTGGAAGCAGGCAAGATGAAAAATTAGGAACCGCCTTTGCCGGGAATCAAACCACGGACCTCTGGATACCGGCCTAAGTGTACAGAACTAAACTACGAAGGCACACTAAGAAAGTGGGAGAAATACCTTATATACCTCCCCTTTTAAAGGGCAACTGGGAGTTTTAGGGGCCACAATCACCAAATCCTGAGTGGGGAAAAATCATCATCCACCACCCTTTTAGTTCAGGCGCCACTGTAGAGACATTAGGTAATTTTTTGGAAGCAGGCAAGATGAAAAATTAGCAACTGCCTTCGCCGGAAATCGAACCACGAACCTCTGGAAACCGGCCCAGCGTGCAAAACTACTACACCGCAAAAGCACGCTGAGTAGGTGGGAGAAATACCTTATGTGTTTATGGAGAGAGATTTCTTCATAGAGAACACTGTAAATGGTACCACAAAAAACTTACATGCACAGCTTTTTTAAGTATCAGAAATAGAGTGTGAAGTGAAGTACTAGTGTTCCAAGGCATTTAATTATCAGGTTTTAGAGATTGAAGAAAGGAGAAATTAGATATTTTTTGTCATTTACCTGTTGCTATTTACCTTGCTTTCTGCCGTAATCCACTGTGCTGCTTCTCTGTTAAATTATAAATTCCCACAGTGGATGTTGAGAATGTACAGTGCTTGTGGAGGGATTTATGGGTCTAAAAGTGTAGTGAGAAGGCATTCAGATGCAAGTGGGTGATTGGGATTGGCTGCTTAAACAGTTAGATCATCTGATTCTTACGAACATTACTGTTCATGTCTTTTCAGGAATGGTACTAAAATGGTACTCATTGTGCCAGTTGACCCTTTATACATATTAACCTAAGTTACATTGCTTTATTTTTATTTATTTATTTATTTTTTACTTCAACACAGTATTTAAAATGCATATTAAGCTGTCAGTAAGAGTCTGGAAACTTTACCACAAGACTATACTTATGGTGATGTCCAAAATGGGCGAGTTGCATTTTAAAGCTATGGGAAGAATTTCTGCATGTTTTGTGACTCCTTACTGAACATGATTTGAGAAATTTTTACTCATTACTTTTTGTTTCCATCTGCATGGGGAGTTTTAATCAATAACTCAGTGTAGTAGAATTAATATCCAAAAATCTGAATAGTTCTTTTTTCCGTAGTGGCTATAAATCACATTAAGAGAACATCTGCTATATTATTATTGTTTGGGTAAGAAGTGTTGTACAAATTTGTAAAAGCTGAGCAAAATAATGTTAAAAAATGTCAGCAAGTCAGAAATGATTGGGAAACTGTGAAACTGCCACATCTGCCCATTTCCCTCTGGTATAAGCTTTTAATAGCATCCTTTGGTTATATATGTCCAACTTAGCTTCTTAAGGTATACTTCAATTACACTTTTCGCCTGGCAATAGGGGATGTCATGTCAGGGCCATGTGGTGTGTGCCTGTACATTTGAATCTGTGTAAAAAGAATTGTTATTTTTTTTAACTCATTCATATAGTAAAATCCTTATTAATTACTTTAAATGTACAGTTTTGCACCACATCATCGAATTTAGAATCAAAAATTTAAAATAGAATGAGTTGCACGTTGTTGGGTCTTCTCCAATTCTGTCCCTGCATGCTATCTACATGACAGCATCATTAATGGAACATATTTTGTAAACTTTATATCTCCTTTTCTCCTGACCACTTTTTACTTAATTGCATGCTGCTTCAGCATAGCATTCAGGTAGAAAGAAATAAAAATTTACACTGAAATTTAGTTTTCTAGTTTTGTTTAAAGTTGTTTAATTAAAGTTGACTTTTTTTGTATAGTTGTTTATTCTTATTTCTGGACGTTCATTAGAGTTCTGCCTGATAATGTATTAAACCTGTGCTATAATGCAAAGCATCTTTCGTTTGGAAATTTAAAACATAGCTGAAGATGAAACAGTGGAGCTTTTAAAAGACTTAATTAAACCCATATTTCGATTTTGATCATGCTCTAAACACTAAAAATTGTTTAAAATGATAAAAGTTAACTTCATGTGCAGTAAATATAAAGGTAAAAATATGAGACATACTCAAAATACTTGATGCAGTAAAACTATTAAAGAAAAGGTTTTCTTCTGCCATGATCACTTTCTATACTATGAATCACTTTCTATGCTATGATCACTTTCTATGATATGAATTTAACAAGCTGAGTGCGTTATTAATGTTTATTTTAATGTATGAAAAGTTTTGCTCAGATCAAGACTTGAATTAAATTGGTGTCGTGTTCCGGTGTTTTCTGAATTTCTGAGTGAAATTATAATTCTAGGCAAAACTCACTTGGGCTTAATAAAGCAGACAATTTCCATTGTACATCTGAATTGTAATATTAATGGATAATATTGTTAACAGAAAATATTAATGCCTTTTTTTAGTTAGGTGGTAGTAAATAGAAACCAAATAACTGATTCAATTTCAATTAGAAGACCAAAATGTGTGGGAAAACTTCAGCAGTTGTGATGGAAAATCCTCTTTATAAAAATGCTAACCTTAAAAGAAATTTTTATGGGCTATATCGATTTGGTCAGAATGTGTTTAAATGGATTAGAATCCAAGTAAAACTATGCATATATCTCAGTACGAAAAAAGTATTTTTTATCCCACTGAGTGGATTTTTGTTTTCCTCTGAGCAAAAATTTTATTTTTTTGTTTATTCGTCCCCTCTGGATTGTATAGCAGTTAGCTAAGACTGACTACTAGTCTGAACAGCAAGGTGAGGGTCTGAATCCCATTTAAGGATTATTTATGTGTTGTTACACCTTCTCATAAGCATAATATCAGACTATTCCTGGTGCACTACCCTGTATAACAT